CGAACCTGGGCGGTGCCGGGGACCCCCGCCTCGCCCAGCCCCGGCCCCGCGCCCAGCCCAAGACTCCGCGGGGACCCCGAGTTCCCGCTCGATGCCGGCGCCGGCCTCCCCGACCCGCAGCAGGTGAGACGCGCCCCGATCCAGGCCCCGGGGAGCCCCCGACCGCCCCTCCGGGACTCCCCCTCTGCAGCCCGGGCCGGGGGCGAGTAGACCCCCACTGGCCCTCTCGGCCCCCCGAGGGCTCCCTGTCTCCATCTGGGACTGAGGGACGGGGAACGCCCCTTCTCATCCTGCGCCCCCGCGAGACCCCATCTGCCTCCGGGCCCCAGAGGGAAGCCCATTCTCTGTCCCTGGTCCCAGGAGACACCGAGGGGACCCCCAACTTCCTTTGCTATCTCTTAGAAAGCCTCCTTGTTCCCCCGGACCCTTGGAGCATCCCGCGTCCCTCCCGCACGCAGCCCGGGTTGGGGCGAGTTGAGGCCCCTCCTTTGCGCGTGCGCGTGCGCTCCTTCGGGACGGAGGGGACCCGCGCTCCAGGCGCAGGCTGTGGGCGCTGCCGGGGCCGCCTGCCGGGGCCTCCACCCACCTTCCTCTTTTTCCTCTCTTCCCAGGGCACGTTCGCGCAGCTGGTGGCTCAGAATGGTGAGTGACCTGTGCCACTTCTCCCGCCGCCCTTGGGTATTCAGAAGGGGACAGGGCCGGCCCGTGGCTCACTCGGGGGAGTGCGGTGCTGATGACACCAAGGCTGTGGGTTCGGATCCCATATAGGGATGGCCGGTTGGCTCACTGGGTGACCGTGGTGCTGACAACACCAAGCCAAGGGTTAAGATCCCCTTACCGGTCATCTTTAAAAAAAAAAAAAAAAAGAAGGGGGAGTCCTGGCAGCGACCTTCCCACCCTGCCCCTCTCAAAGCTGTCGTCTCAGCTCTTTGAACTCCATCTGTCCCTCTTTTCTCTTGGTGGCTGGCCGGTACGGGGACGGAACCCTGGACTTTGGTGATGTCAGTACCACGCTGTGCCTCTTTCTGACCTACCCCCCAGCCCTCTCTGAATGCCTTTTCCTGCCCATCTGACTTCAGTCTGTGCCCATCTCAGACCCTGCCCTCTCAGAGCTGGAGCTGGACACACCCCACCCCCAGCCTGGTTTTGTCTCCCCCGCTTGATTCTGGGAGATCCAGACCCTCCTCCCCACCCTTTCCCTTACCCCCTTCCAGAGACCCTCCTCCGCACGTCTCCCCGCCGGAGACCCTTCTCTCTTTCCCCTCCCTCTCCCCTCTTCCAGAAGTCTCTCGCCCGCCCCCCACGCCTCTTCCTCCCACCTCCCTCGGAGCGCCCTCCCCAGGCCTGCGCCCCTGCCCGGCGGCCACGCTCAGTGCACCTCTCCCCACCCTCCCCCGACAGCACTGTTGACCGACGGGCCCCTGCGCTGGTACAGCGACCCGGGCCTGGCAGGCGTGTCCCTGGCGGCGGGCCTGAGCTACGACGAGGACACCCAGGAGCTGGTGGTTGCAGAGGCCGGCGTCTACTACGTCTTCTTGCAAGTGGAGCTGCAGCGCGTCGTGGCCGGCGCCGCCTCGGGCTCCGTTTCTCTGGCTCTGCACCTGCAGCCGCTGAGCTCCGGGGCCGCCGCCTTGACCCTGACCGTGGACCTGCCGCCGCAGCCGACTCCGAACTCGGCCTTCGGTTTCCGGGGCCGCCTGCTGCACCTGGGCGCCGGGCAGCGCCTGAGCGCCCACTTGAGGGCCGAGGCGGGGACGCATTTCGCCTGGCAGCTCGCCCAGGGCGCCACGGTCTTGGGCCTCTTTCGCGTGACCACCCAAGTCCCCGCCGGACGCCCCTCACCGCGGCCCACGTGATGCCCGGCCTGGGTGCCAGCCACCTGGACAGAGACGGAATCCTGCTGTCCTTGCTTCGTTGTGGGCCCTGGTGCCGGGGCTCGGTTGCTCTACCTCACCCGGGGCTGGGCGGGGGTCTCCGCTGCTGACCCCTCCTCGAGGACTATCTTCACCCACTTTTGCCCCAGGCTGAACTCTTGGTATTTATTCTGAGCCTGAGCTCAGACCTATACTTTATATTAATTCATTGTACTTAATATTTATTGAGTATCTGCGATGTGCCAGGCATCCTGCAGGTACCAGAGAGACATCACAAAACAAAACGGACACCCTCCCCCAAATCCTTATTTATGTCAATACGTGAGAAACATGGACTCGCCCCCAACCCCCGCCCCCACCTCGCCGTGTGAGTCAGGGGGCTAGCTTTGGGGTACGTGTAATTGCTGAGTGAGCTTCATCCATGTATCCCACTGATATTTATTCAGCACCTACTGTGTGTCAGGCACTGTTTTAAGTGCCGGGGACACAGCCATGAATGAGACAGACAAAAAACCTCAGGCTTTGGGGAGCTGACGGTCTGTTGTATCTCGGCGTGCAAGTCCACAGCTTTGTGATGTGATCGTGTGTGATTCTGCGTGGCTGGACCACGTGGCCCCGTATGCGACTGTGCATTGTACGGGATAATAAAATATTTATAAATGTAATGACGACTGTGTATTGAGCATTTACTATACGCCAGACAGTGTGAGTTATCTTATTCCGAGGCCCACAACTGTCTTATGCCGTAGAGATTTTATTATTTCCATTTTACCATTACTTGTGCATGCTCTTGAGGTTTTCTACCTCGATTGTATCTGTGTGGTGGAAAGACTGTGTAATGGTGTTCCACCGAGTGTCTTCCCCCAACTCTGTGCTTAGTGATGTCACACTGGTACTTTGAAATCAGCCACGGTGAGAGTGTTTACAGCACAGGAATCAGCAAATACCACAGGTCAGGGGACTTATTGTTTATTGATTACCTAGGCTTAAGAAAGTGTTGGAGAAAATGACAACGTGAGCCATGTAGATTGAACTTAAAAGTGTATCTCCTCTGCAGCTGTTACGTTGCAAATAGCACAAAAAATCGAGTAAGCATTTGTCTAGTGTTTTAAAACCATTTTCTGATTCAACAAAGAAGTTGCTCATGTCATTCACAAAAACGTAAAGCCCTGACACATATCCTTGTCTCATTTCATCTTATTCTTTAAAATAAAGGAGTAGGGGCGTGGTAGGTGAGCTCAGTTGGTTAGAGCATGGTGCTGACAACACTAAGGCTAAGGGTTCAGATCCCCATACCAGCCAGCTGCCAAAAATAAAAAAGGAATATATCAACTTATATTCACTTTCACTTACACCCATCAGTTGGCTATGAATACAAGAATTTGGGAAAAATCAAGGAAAACATTTGGTGACAATCGACTTATTATATGGAACTTGCAATGAAGAGTGATTTATATTTTATTATCATTTTAAATTGTGTGCTACACATAATTTATGTCCATAAAATTCATAATAAACACACACAGACTCACTTCCCCCCTCTTCTGGAGAGCCGGTGCTTGAATGTTTACCAGCACACCACTGTTCCTCTCCTCTCTCCAGACCTGGCCATTTTCTCCAGTCCCATGATTTCCCCATCTGGCAGGATGAGTCTGTTAGTCCCGCCTCCATTGCTAGATGCTTCTTCTGGACCTCTACAATGGCCCTCTGACCCAGCAACCCAAACCTTAACACCTGGTGCACCAGAATTGCACCCTGGGGAGGGTGGTCCCCAGAACTCTGGCTCAGGGGCCAACCTCAAATCTGATTGGTCATCTTCTGACTAGGAGGGTTGTTGCTTATTTTGAATAGCACTCCTGGCACCAGGTGTTTCAATTCCTCTGGCTCAGCTGATGGGGTCAGGGTCAACACGTGACTCAAGCTGGGCCAATCAGAACTTCTTCCCAGGAATGTGGGTGGGTCCGGCTCCAGAGACTCTGAGTCAGCAATTGGAAACTGTTTGTGAGACAGAAGCTTAGCAGGGCCCATGTATAGAGAGGAGAAATGGAAAATGTGTGCATTTTCACAGGTGAGACCACAGAGCCCTAGAAAGAGACAGGAGCTGCTTTGGTTTCCTACATGCTCCTTCCTGGGGACGTGGGATACCCTAGTGCATTAGTTTCCTAGGGCTGCTGAGAAAAAGTATCATAATCTGAGAGGCTTAAAACAAGAGTAGTTTATTCTGTTGCAGTTCTGGATGCCAGAAGTCCAAATTCAAGGTGTAGGCAGGGCCACGCTCCCTCTGAAGGCTCTAGGGGAGGATCCTTCCTTGTCTCTTCCAGTTTCTGGTGGTTGCTTGGTTTGTAGACACTCCACTTTCTGCCTCTGTTTTCACATGGCTGTCTTCCCTCTAGGAGTCTCTTTTCTTCTTATAAAGATACCATTCACTCTGGATCTAGGTTCTACCCTCTTCCAGTATGACCTCATCTAATTTAACTAATTACATCTGCAAAGACTCTATTTCCAAATAAGATCATGTTCTGAAATCCCAGGAAGGATATGAATTTTGAGGGGACACTGTTCAACCCAGTACACCGACTATTTACCCTTGGGAACCATGAGACACCTGTATATCCTCTTATGAATTTTCTTCTGGGGTGTGTTCTGTTCCATGCAGCCAAATGACCTCTATCTAAGACGGAAGCATCTAAGGTTGCAAGTCAATGGCTCAGTGTGGGAGGCCGAGAAATGTGTTTCAAAAAGGAAATAGTGGTCAGTGGTGTCCGGTGCAGGTGAGAATCTGTTAAGGTGAGAACGGGAAATATTTACCAGATTTTAAATTGTGACAATTGTGTGGGGTTTTACAAGGGCTATTTTCAGTGGCACGAATGGATCAAGTTGCATCAGACTGGCTTTGAGAAGTTAGTAGTAGTATTACTACTAATAAGTATTAGTCATACTAATAATACTAATAGCAATATTAGAAATAATAGTAGAAATTAGTAGTGAAGAATTTGAGATAGCTTGTAGAGACAGCTTCTTAAAAAAAGTTATTATTTGGAAGTAATTTCAAATTTAAAGAGGAGTTACATGATGAGAGGACTACAAAGAACACACATATGTCTTTTACCCGGATTCACCAACTGTTAATGTTAGTCCCATTTGCTTTTTACTTACTTGCTCTCTGCATCTCTCCGTCTCTGTCTCTATCCTCTCTATCTCTCTGTGTCTCTATCTCTTTGTCTCTCAACCTGTCTCTGTCTCCTTCTTGCTGTTATGGATATAATTTGGAAGTCTCATTTAAGGTGAGTAAGACAAGATCAAGGTTATTAAGAAGAAAAACCAGAGGAAACCGCAGCCTCAGAGACTGGGGCAGTTCTAGGAAATTCCAAATGCAGTGTGAATAGATTCAATAATTAGGAGGAAGTTCTGGGGCCTTTGCCAAGGTGACTATTTAGAAAGAAACACGGGACTAGTTGGATTAGCTTTCCTCTTTCCTCTGGCTCCCATATCAAGCAGATCCGATGATGGCATTTTTTCTTAGGCTAAATCAGTGGATATAAAATGTCAAGTGATCAGCATGCCTCTTCTGATATCAGGTTATATTAAATTCAACAGGCATGAGAACTGGGATTTGCAAACACCAAGATGAGCAGGCAAGAGATCACCAGGCATGTGACCAAAATCAATACCATAAAAGACACATCCCAAGTTCCATAACAGCAAAAAAGAATGAACACCTGAAGAAACAATGCTAACAGAGCCAGCAGAAGATTTCAGCATAAGTTTAAGTCATTTCTCTACGAAGATTTTATTTTAGATTAAATAATATTTCAGTACACCAATAATCAAATGTCTAAGGATACTGCCTTGACTTTCAGTAAAACCACTCAAATTTTCAGAGATATTAAAGTTTAAAGAGTAAATACCATTGGTCATTAAAGTTCAAAGACATTAAAATGCAAAGGAATTGAATGACCAGGGAGAGATTAGAGAATACTTTTTCATTCACTCATTCATTTATTCAGCATATGTTTAAGGGAGTTTTTAATGTGCTAACTTTTTTCTAGGTGCTGGGGATGCGGAACAAAAAAGAGACACCGAGTTTTTGCTTTCAACAGCTTATATTCTAGATCAGGAGTTGGATTGTTTGCAGGCTGAATGTAGCCCATTGCCTGTTTTTTTTTTTTCCCTTTTTGTCTTTTTTCGTGTCCGGCAACGGATCGCAACCCTCAGTGTCGCGCCCGTACCGGACCGGGACC